TTAGATGGATCATCTAATCGATTAGATGTTCCTGAGTTGCATCTTTTGACCATTTTTCTTCATTTGATCATATCTTTTTCATCCGTACTCCAGATGAGATGATTTTTTTTTTGAACTTGATTAATTTTTCACTGTCTTTCTAATGGCGTACTGGATTGCACTCGAATCTTCCTGGATAATTACCAGTTTACCCTTTTAGGCTTAAGTGCTCATTTTTCTTCGTCATACCGTTTCTCCTTCGTCCGGACTCCGAATCATGCGATTCTTGAGTCCATCTTGATTAGTTTTTCATTATCTTTCCAACGGTGTACTCGGTAGCACCCGAATCCATATTTTTAGAAAAGACTGTTTTGCCCTTGGAGGCATACTTGGTCTATTTTTGATATTTTTCTTCTGCATTAGTTCTCATTGAGTTATGTAGCCTCTTGGAAGGTCACTTTGGCTTCTTAAAGACGTATTGTATCTCTAGAGACTTGGTTTCTATTTTTGCTTCCGTATTCTGGATTCATTATCAGGTCAATTTTCGGTTCATCACAAGACGCGCTGCCTAAAAACTAGGGTCGTCACATCTTATATGTGATTATTTGAGAATTGATCTCTACACTAGATTCTCTATGTTGGTTGCATGTCTATGTGTGATTAATTAAGGATTTAGTGATGGCTATGGATGCTTTTCATTGAATGGATTTGTTAATTAATTTGATGGATTATACTTAGACTTGATAAATTATGTTACACATTAGTTTATTTGTTGTTAGGTAGACAATCTATGCATAATTTTGATATTCCATCGCTTATTATTGCAAATTCCATGATTCTCTAGATTGATGTATGCTACAATTGTTACTAATTTGATGGGTCATGCTTAAACTTGATAGGTTGTGCTACACTTAGTTTACTTGTTGGTTAGGTAGATAATTTATGCTTAAATTTGATGGTTCATTCTTAATATTGCAATTAATAGTCGCATTTGGATTACGAGAAGGTTTTCCCCAATTAGTTGAAAATATGTAGTTTGGTAAACGAGTTTGGTTGTGATTCTAAGGCCCTAAGACCTCTCTTCCTATCATTTAAATCCTAACTCACTCACTTTAATTTAGTGGCATTTTCATTTAATTAAATTTTAGAGTAATCAACCAACCTAACTTTTTCTCTCTTGCAATCTTGTGATCCACTAGAGTCAAAGTTAAATTCCAACTACGCGTTTAATCCCTGTGGATGATCCCTACTCGCTATACTATATAGTCGTAGTGGTTTTATAAATCTAAGTTTGATTAAAAAGGCTTCTGAAACCATATTCATATTTTGACCTTGTGAAGCGACCTCTCATTCGATTGCGTTGTTAAATTTTGGCACCATTGCCGAGGATTAACGGTTTTGTTAGAATTAAACTAGACAATAGTGTTCATTGATTGTTTCATATTTTTTATTTTATTTTATCTTATTCTTTGTTACTTGTTCAATTAGGTTCTTGACTACAAAGAAATCAAGCTTTGTATTCCGACGTTGTAGCTTGGGACCTTTGTGAGCAATTCTTGAAACTCTTGTAGCTTAATTGTTCATTTCTTTATATGTTTGAGAGATAGCCCTTGTCGAGGCTAATTACATTGTTATATTTTGACCAAGCATCGGCCCTTATTGAGGCCAATATTTTCTTGCATTTGGATTTTGAATGTGAATGGAGGAATTGTTTGATCCAAGTTTGGGGGAAAATTACATTATTTTACCTTATGCCCTCTATCTTATTTTAATTCTTATGAGATTGAGTCCAATGCACTATAAGCATCATCATCTTGCTATGGACTTGATTACTCTTGTGATTCTCCTTATGACTACTACCCTCCCCCACCATTCTATAATGAACCAACTCCATCACCTTCTAGGTACTCGCCCGGATTTGAAGATAAATTGTTAGCTCTACTTGATGTACTTAATGCATAAACCCAACTTTTTTATTCTCATTCTCAAACCTTAGCCAAGCTAGAGGCTCAAATTGAGCAAATAGTAAGCACTCTAATTTGTATTGATGAGGAAGAGGTAAGTGAGCCAATAACCAATCCAATAAAGCGCAACATGATTTATGTGGACATTCCTTGTAATTTGGATCATGAAGTCATTGAGGCCACCTTTGAGAGTGAGGAGAAGGTAATTCATTTAGAGGAAGAGAAAAGGGATGAAGAGAGTGTGTTTCCTAATAATCCAATTAAGTCATTGAAAGACATAGCCTTACCAATTAACAAATGAAGTGATTCTTTGAATACACTTTAAGAGTACAAAAATGATGCAAGGCCGACCACTATTTGTTTTATTTTCAAGACTGTGAATGAGAGGAAAAAAGTCATATCTTTTATTTATGTTCAAGTTATTCCTTAGAGAGATGATTTCATTGTTGTGAGAGAGGATCTAATAGGAAAAATTGACAAAAGGATCAATGAGGATGCTTTCAATCCAATTTTTGATCGACCAGTGAGTCGACCCCACGTCTTACTAGAGGCGTTAAATACTAGTTTCATAGAGTTTTTCAAACTCTGTATCTCCCCCATTTCTTTTTATTTTTCGTTTCTTGCGTTGTCTAGATAATTCATTGCGCTTCATTGAAAAATTTAAGGCAATTAAGGCCTTTGAAAAACTTTTCCTTAGAAAAATTTCCTAAAAATTTTCCCAAAAATTTCATCATTTTTTTTGTGCCTAAGCAGTAGTTTACGATCGATCGTAGCTTCCAGCGATCGATTGTGATTTGCAGGTTCCATTTTGCCTGAAAACATGCTCTCAGTATCTCCGTTCATAGCTTCCAGCGATAGTTCACTGACCTCAGCGATCATTCGTAAACTTGAGCGAATGATCGTTGCTGGAACCAAAAATTCTTCTTCTTGAGCAGCGATCGATCGTAAAGTTGGGATGATCGATCGTAGACTGTTTTCCCAAAAAAAAAAAAGAAGAGAAATTACCTTATTTGCACTTTGTTTTCTTGCATTTTATTTTCTTGCAATTTTCTTATGTTTTAATTACTCGTGTTGATTTCTATAAAAAAACATAAAAATAAAAAAGGGGTCACTTGTCCTCATATATCTCTTTCACCTTGAGTTATATTGCTATAGAGCATATGATTTGCTCTTCTTTATCCTATTGTGATATTTGATGTAAGTTTACTAGTGTGGTTATTCAAATAGGTTCTTGATTCCAAGTTTGGGGGAAACGTTTTTCAAATTGGATCATTATTAGGCTTCATAGGCTTTTACCACCATGGTATACTCTTTTCGTCTTTTCTATTGTTCTCTTAGCACATTGAGGACAATGTACGGTTTAAGTTTGGGGGTAAGATGGATTTATTGCATTTTACATAAGTTTGAACTTTAATTGCATGATTGAGATTTGAGATTCATTTTGGCAATGACTTTGATCTTTTGAGGCTTATGTTCCATTGAATTGAAAAATTTCATGTCTTGAGAGTTCAATACTCCTTATATGACTTTAGATGCCATTTAGGAGCAAATTTTTCAAAAATTTGATATCATGCCTGCTTTTGTGGTCCACATCATCTTGTTTGTGAGAATGCTTTGAGATTCGACTCTAGAATACTACATTTGCACAGGTGCACACTAACATTCATATATGGGGTACATACTTAGTTGATTATTGCTTTGGTTATATCCCAATTGAGCTAGTAGGTTTTGAAAGATTTCATTCGTGACAAGATGAATAACAAACCCTTTTCACTGAGTAACCGGAAATCGTGCCTCATTAAGCATGGATTTTCGCTTAAAAAGGTGGAGGGCCCCAAAACTAAGTTAATAATTAAAAAAAAAAAAATGTTGAAAAAAGTGAGCGCTTCTTGACAAAGGTGAGAAGTAGGGAAGTGAATAGATGAAAGTTATTTTGGTTTGTAGCCTAGTTGATTTGAGTTTGTAAGTCCTTAGGGGTGTTTCTACACCTAATGCCCTAAAGTCGTCCGATTTGGGAGTCATTGACCTAACACTTGCCACATGAATCTTTTAGAAAGCTTAAAATATCACTACATTGCACCATACTTTCATCATTGATCCTATGAGGAAAAAAAAATAAAAAAGAGTGAAATGAATAAGAGCACCTAGTTGAATAAAAATTTAGTAAAGGGTTCATTCTTTATCTTAATGATTGGTACTAAATTTGTGTGCTAGTTTGAGGCCGATTGTGCCCATTCTATTGATTTGCTAAGATAGCAACATATTTGATGTCGGTTTACTCAAAAAGGATGCTAGAGTTGATTTGATTTGTATAATCATCTACTTGATGTGTGGAGGACCATATTTGCTTACTTCTTGTTAGAAGTTTGGAAACACTACAAGAAATGTAGGCTTTTACGACATAGTATTTACGGGGCTTCTTTATTTTGCCTCGTGATTACCACCATTTACGGAGTTTTTGAAAGAATCCTCGTTATAGGACATGCTTTCACGACATTTTAGTAAAATCCTCGTAGAAAAATATTTTTACGGTGTATTAAAGAGCTCGTGAATATTTAGATATATTTACGGCATATTTGTACACCTTTAATGGGATAAATGTTCCTCGTTGATAAAACACTCATTTAAGGCCTTTTTTTTTCCCCGTAAATAAGCAATTCACCTTGCCCGCCATTTTTTATACTCACAATTAATAAAATTAGTTAAAAAATATATATATAAATGAACTTAAGTTCTTTTACGGTGTATTAAAAAGCCCGTGAATAAATTTCACATTTAAGGTGCCTTTTTTGCGCCGTAGATAAGTAATACTATTTTCCAAATAAAATTTTCCCCCTTTCGTGCCGCTGGCAGGAAATTTAAGGCGCCTTTTTTATCCCGTAGATAAGCAATCCTATTTTTAGGCAAAAAATTCCCCCCTCCGTCCCTCTGGCGGGAAACTTAAGGCCAGATAAATGATTTTTTAAATAGAAAACGTAATAAAAAATTAGTCTCACCTTATGAAACGACGTAGTTTTTGTCAATAGGCGTAATATCGTGCGTCCAACGGGACTACACAACTCTGCTCTCTCCCTCGCGTCTAAGCCCTAGACTTCTCTCTCTGCTCTCTTTCTCTCGCGTCGAAGCCCGCCTTCTCTGTCTGCTCTCTCTCTCTCGTCTAAGCCCTAGCTTTCTCTCTCTGCTCTCTCTCTGTAGCGTCGAAGCCCTAGCTTTCTCTCTCTGCTCTCTCTCTTTAGATGAAAAAGATGCGGACAAGATGATGTTATAGATTCGATATAGTCTCCCTATTCGAGTTATCTCTCTGGTTCGCCTCTTTGTTCGAGTTATCTCTCTGGTTCGCCTCTTTGTTCGAGTTCTCTCTCTGGTTTGGACACGAGAAACAACCATTTGGAGCCACAGTTTCTTCGAATTTTAGACGGCTATACACATCAATTTCGAGCAAAAAATCAAGGTTTGTCTATCTCTTTCTATATATATATCTATTAGTTTTGATTTTTTGACTAAGAGTGTTTTATTTAATTTAATTTTTTCTTTTTGGATTTTTCTGTAGTTTTTTTTTATTTTTTTATTTTTTATTTTTTATGCAAATACATATTATAGGGTTTCAAAATTGCAAGGGAAATTGCAGATTTGGAAGAACTTAGGAACGTATCTTTGTTGTCTGATAATTATTATCAGCAAGACCTTTCAAACTATTCTTCAAATGTCGCGCAACGTTGGGACATTGGTACTGCTATTGCACGCTCTAGCTTTCGTGTTATGGCCAGCATGAATCTATCCACAGGTATCATCCAATTATGTACATAAGAACCTAGCTGAATTGATTCTTTGAACCATTTTATTATTTAATTTGTGTCTCAATTAATTTGCAGAATTTCAAATCTATGGCAAACCCTGGGAGGTCTACAACAACCACAGTCAGCTCTAATATGGTACATGAACGTACTCTAATATATATATGTATATTTGGTTCTTTTGAAGTTCCTTCAGATTGAAATTAATCTCTGAATAATTAAAAGTTTTTATTATCTTCCCATGCTTATTATGGTTTCAGATCACCCATCAACTGCTGAGCAGTTGAAATGATCATGGGGAAGATATATGTATGTTTCTCTATTATTTATGTTTGTTAATTAATTTGTGCCTGAGTTTTATTTTTCTTCTTCTTTTTGGATACAATATATTTCTTACTACTATGGTTTCTGCTATTAGTACTACTTTCATTTTGCTTTAAAAGAAAATTCAACAATGAGACTTCTAAAAATATCTTTTAATTTTTAGGAGTCTGGAAAATAAATTAATTTTTGTTAGTACACTTACCTAAACATTAGAAAAACGAATTTGATGGTAGCAGTTGAGACTTGGCATAATAACCAGGATGATGAATATTACTACAGATAGCCAAGCATGATTTATCCAGGACAATGTAATCAAAATAACATATTTTGAGAACAAAAGAAATTATGAGGACCTTTATTCTCAGTATATTTAAACCTAGTGTTACTGGTAGTACTAATGTGTAAAGAGCACATCAAAAGGATATGAGGTAATATCCATGACTACATATAACCATATGATCACTCTCTCTATATATCTTTAACATGGATTTTAGGTTGATTTGTAAATCAACCTAATTTACACGGCATCTAGGTGAATATTTAGATCATAGATTGTTTCTAAAACATTTATATCTCATTGTATAAGTAACAAGAGTTCCAGAAACAACTTTTCTGAGATAAAATTATGACACCGCATTGGATGAAAATATATAATAGTATTAGGGTTCACTATAAAGGAGAAATGGGAATGGTATATTACTGAGTGTTCTTCCTTTACAACCTTATATACTTGTTGAATGTTATGGATATGAATCTTAAAAAAATTCATTTGATAAAAGAAGAAATGAAGTTAAATGAGGTTGATTTGAGTGAATGCATGTCACATTCAATTTTGCATTATTGCGAGTATGATCTCAATTAATCGAAGATGTTGGGAGGAAAATGTCACTAGGTTACAAATGACACTCCCTATTTATAGACATCGGACAAGGATCCCCTCCAAGAAAGAAGAGGTCCTTATTGGTGGGTGTGCAAAACCTCTCATTTCTTGAAGAGGATCCTTATCCATAGACATCCTCCCTACCTTCTCAAATCCATCCGGTACTTCATAACTCCACATCAATCTGGAATATTCTATAACTTCAGTCATGTCATTCCGCCGGTCTAAGACATGGTAGATTCTCCATGCAACTTGACTAAGCGTGACACCATGCTTACAAAAATATGAATAAAAAAATGCAACCCAATGAGTGCTCAGGCACATGACAATGGCTAGGATTTATCAGGAAAAAGAATATGGGGATTTATGAGTTAATATCTTAAGCAAAGAGTTTAAAGCTTAATATATATTTATGAGAATCAACTAGGAGTTAATTCTTTGGGCTCACTATAAAATTTTGGTAAAAAAAATAAAATAAAGGAAAAATAAAATTTGGGGATTCTGCTATTGTTTGGGGTATAATAATATAAGGAAACAAATCTTTTAAAATATGATAATATAAGAAAATATTTTTTTTTTTGGGATTCTGATATTGTTTGGGATCTAGTAATTATAAGGAAATAAAATTTTTAAGAAAATAACAATATTTAAAGAATATATATATATATATATATATATATATATATATATATATATATTTGGATTATTGGTTTAGGGGACTAAGCCTTGATAATATCTGTTAAGTCCCCAATCAAGACTGAATGTTATAATGATAACTCTGATATAGATTGAGAACAATTATTTAATAATCTCGATCATTTTATAAGCGGATGTTGAGAGAGAGAAAAATCTAAAATGTATCTTAGTCCTTTGCCATACTAATTGATATTAAAAGTTTTAATTAGCACAGATGTCTAATGTTATTTATGTAAAATGTATCTTAGTCCTTTGCCATGCTAATTGATATTAAAATTTTTAATTAACACAGATGTCTAATGTTATTTATCTAAAATGTATCTTAGTCCTTTGCCATGCTAATTGATATTAAAAGTTTTAATTAGCACAGTAGTCTAATGTTATTTCCCTGAAATTTTCAGATCTCATTTTTCCAAGGTGCATAAGAATATGCAAGTTTCAGAAAGAACTAAATTTATAAATTAAGGGACTGTTAAGGTTCTGTTACCAGAAGCTAGTTATTCTGTTATATAACTTCATATATATTGCTTATATATGCTTGTTCTATGGTTATCTTTTTTCATTTGCATAAGAATAAGTTCCTGCCTCTTATAAATTAAATAGCTGATGATTCTTGTCTTCAATAGTGATCATCTAATAGCTTGTCATCTTTGACGAAAGAGTTGTGCAGCAGCTAGCTAGCTAACTTCAAATCCGGATGTGAAAGATATTGGGTACATATAGCGGATATGCAACACTACCCAACAACTTAGGCTTTTGATTTAGAATGTAAGGGCCCGACTTGTTACACATATACAGTACTACATTGAGCTACATAACCTAAGTTTTGATCTTAGATTGTGGTTAAAGTAGTTTTTCTTTTCCTTTTGTGTTGTTAATTTATTTTTAGGTGAAGAAAATACTTGTTTCGTGATGAAATAGCCACCTTAAATCATTGTGCTAGCTAGCTGCTCCCACATAAAATAGTTTAGTATGTTTTGACTCCTAATAAGTGTGTACTCCATGATTGAGACCTTGAAAATGCAAGATCTTTTTATCATCTGCTTCCGTAGTAGTAGAAAGATTTTAATTTTGAAGTATTTATTACATTAGGCTTTCTTTTGTAATTATTGTTACCATGCATATATATAAGCTAGCCTCGAGTACTGCATATGTGCATAAGCATTTGGATGATTTTATATGATGCTTGAATTTTCAAAGAGCTCGAGCCAACATCCATCGGAAAAAATCTAGTGTAAATCTTTTATACGATGCTTGAATTTTCAAAGAGCTGGAGTCAACATCCATTGGAAAAAATCTAGTGTGAATCTACATCAAAGAGGTAAATCACATAAGGTAGGAGGATACAGGAAGTTTGTTGAATGAGTAGATAGTTAAGTTGTCTGAGGCAAGTCCAGTTATATTTATATTGAATACTCGATGCCCTCAATAATGATGATCGAGCTACTTAATTATAGAAACAGAGCTCCAGTTTGGAGCGTGATGAGTTCGTGTTTTGGTGAATGAAATGATTATATATAGAAGAATTTGAATAGCGCGCTGTACGTGTATAGAAACACTACAAGAAAAATGATTATTTACAACGAGGTATTTACAATATGCAAAATTACACCTTGTTAAAAGGAAATTTTATAACATGCTTGTTGTCAAATTGAAAACATGCAACGTTTTGAGCATGTTGTGAATGTAATTTGAAAATTTTTAGCACTAATTTTAAGTCAATTTCCCGGGCACACATGTCTATTGCCTATGTAATTCCCGCTGATATTTTCACTACTTGGTTTGACAAAAAAATAAAAATAAATGAAAAATATAAATTCAGTATATAACCACACACCCAAAACACGCACACTGATAGTCGACGGATTGAAGCCCTAACCAGTACTGAAAATGTGTTTCTGTCTTTCCATCTAGCCATAACGTCTCTCTCCCTAAATCTTTTGCAGTTGGACATCGAAGAAAACCCTAACCCCTAATGGTAACATGGCTCAAAGAAGAAACCCTAGGTCTGGAATCCTTCTTTGGAGATGCGAAGGTGTGCTAGGCGATTTGTGGATGGCTGTTGCTGCTAGGTTTGTTTCCAATCTATTTCTCTCTATTTATACTAGTATATATGTGTGTCTGTGTGTTTGTACTTTCAGTCGATCCTTGATCACTTTGATCATTTGCTCCACTCGTCATCTCTATTTCTATCCATCCCAGACTTAGATTGAGTTGCAGAGATAGGGGAAACCTCGGCAGAAGCGCTTGGCGCCAATGCATGAATTTGACTTTATCAATTTTGATTCTTATTTTTCTGATTTCATAATCAATATTCAAACTGATCTTGTTTTCATTTTTTTTTCTCTGTTCTTTATCAGAAAATTAATTAGTAATTATTTGGTTTTTCTCATATTCAATTAGGCACTTTGAATTGAAGCTAGTGAATGGGAATTTAAGTTTGAAATTTTGAAGATATTGGTTATTATGAATTTGGTGTTTCTCCATACTTCCTTATTATATTTATTTTTCTGATTTAGGGGTCTTAAAGCAAGGATTTTCAATTTTGGACTGCTATAGGACAGGTTGTTAAAATCGTGGTGTATATAATAATCTACATGACAGTTAAGGAAAAATTGTTCATGATCAATGAGACAGCTTCTGAATGCCTCAGTTATCCCAATTAAAATGTTTTTTGAGTGACAAAAACTAAGAAAGCTGGTTTATAATATGATTGGATCTCTTTTTAGAGAATAGTTCTCAAAAAATTGAATCACTAGAGTATGAGTTTTAGAGAACAGCTTGAACAAGTTATCAGAGTTTTGGGAGTAGAGTTTCCATCTTTGAGAAAACACGGAGAACTCCTCCAACTTAAAATGACTGAACTTTCTCCGGCCGTTCAAAATAGTGTCCATTCCTCAACCACAAATTCCCTTCTCTAGACCTACAAATCAACTCTTCCTCATCCCTCCCGGTACCTTATGTTTGACTCTCGCTACCTATCTTCAGCATCTACATGTAATAATCCATCATTCTCTCTCAAAGATTTTTGGTTTTTTTTTTTCTTTAAAAAATACAATATTCACTCTAATCTTATATTCAATTTTGTAAAGATAGCTTCAATTTGCTTCTTTCTTTTTTTCTTTTTCTTTCTCTCGTTCTATTGTCGATTTTGTTGGCTGAGTTTGCATTTCTTTAATGTCTGGGTTTCTCTTTTGTTGGCTGGATTTCTCTATTTGTATTCATGTAATATATATATATATATATATATATATATATATATATATATAACATCCCTAGGCCCTTTGTCTTGTAGATTGAGAACTCTTGGAGAACCTAAAATCGATGTAACAAATAGTTGGTCCTATTCAAAAAATAAATTGGGAGAATCCATCTTTATTTTTTTCCCCCCTTTTTGAGAACTTGTGAACAGAGAACTATGGATTTCTTTTTCTTGTGAATGGAGAACTCTTGGAGAATGCTATGACTATATATAGTGTGTCAAATGTACATGTGATCTTTGTTTGCAAAGAGTCTCATCAGATCAAACCCGAGTATAGATCCTACAAGTGGTTCATATTAATTAACTATCTGTTCATTGGTCAAAATGACAAGGTGATTGTTTTTTATGAATTACGAAGAGGGTCTAGATTTAATTCATTAAGGAAATGCTAGCCGTAGTCAAGTATTCTGAATTAAGTAAATTTTAGTGAAACAAGCAAAAGAAGTCGTGGCCTCATGGGATAGAATCACATATTTTTACAAGTGATGCTCCAACTTCTGTATAGATGATGCCATTTTTATCTATTTTTTTCATGCCATCCTATGAAGGGAAGAAATATATGCTTGTACTATTGATTGCCTTTTAATACCACACTCTCCGTTTTTTAAATTCATTTTCTTCTTTCTCTTATAGAGGCATAGCAATGCGATGAGATTGAAAATTTGATTCTGTTATTAATGAATTGCTCTTTGCTGCCTATATATACTTCATTTAGGGTTGAGAGGAATAGAGCTTTCTCCCTCCAAAAAAACTCGAAGATAACAGCACTAGTAACACTTGTTTGGGAGAGAGATGGAATTTGCCTGACAACATTTTCAGATAATTGTAGTGGTATTTTCCCTCTTTACTTATTCTTGATTTTTCATGTTGTGTGCTATTTTATTTTATTTTTGCCAAGTTTTGTTCCTTCAGTTGTTGTAGTGTAGTAGAGGATAATATTATAGAAGTGTAGTAGAGACATAATAGACTCTATCATGAATATAGTTATATATTCTTCTTGCTAGAATTTTGATAGAATTTTTAATCTTTTGTGATAGGTTAGTAGACAAAATAATTAAGCAAATGGTGATGGATAAAGAATGGATGCACATGACTTACAGGTTATTATATGTAGTGGAGTGTGCTTATAAAAGTTAATATTGTCTACACTAATTTTATGTTTAATTAAATGTTAAAGCTTTAATTTTATAGAGTTGATCCAAAGTATTTAGAAGGAGCACGGAGGTTTGCTGATCAGGCGCAAGCGAATGCGGGCCATCCATAAAAGATTTTATGCCCTTGTAATTGTTGTCTAAATGCAAAGCACCAACACTTCGAAATGGTGTTTAGGCATTTATTGGAAAATGGAATGGATCAATCATACACTATCTGGTACTTTCACGGGGAAAATTTGAGTGAATCTCTCCAACATGGAAGTGATGTAAATGACGTTGAAATGCCAGAGATGTATCAGAATTTCTATGATTCCAGTCTACAACAAAGGTCAAATACTATGCTTCTTTTATGATTGCACAATTTTAATGCTTTTTATACTCATACTTAGGGGGGTCACGTGCCTTTAAGTGTCCAATTTTGCAGTGTATCTTGAACTTTATTACCTTAATGGTACATCGGCCCGTGTGGAGGCCATTTTTATTTCTTGTTTTAAAATGTTGAAAGCATGGGAGTATGAGATCAACGTATGTGGAGGTTTTGATTGATTGTTGTGGAGGAGAAGTTGTTGTTGATATGTTGTTTATATCTTTACTTAAATTTTTTTAGTTTACATGGAATAGTAGTTTGTCTTTGCATGAAAATTTTGAAGCCTTTCCATCTATTATTGGAACCATACTTTAGTACCACAGTAGTAGGGTATGGACCATTCTAATTATTTATGACCCTATACTAATGAGCAGACATACCACGTATCATCAGAGATAATGAGAACCAATCCCAGAATTATAATTTATTTCAATCAGGCCTTATCACGAAAAATCATTCCTGAGCATACAAGTATGTTGCATCCCACATCTAAAAGGATTTAGACTAAAAAAATATCATACTAAAATGGGTCAGTAAGTCCAGATTATGCAATTCTCCTACAATTCAATAACACAAATAACAAAGTACTTTGATATCACAATCCACTTTTCGAACAAAAGCTCAGACAATACTAATGTTCCAGATAAGTGATGTTGGATCTTATTGATAAATTTACAAACCCTCATAAATAGGATAGACCCCAACGTAAGACTCGAGAACATTAAGTTCTCAAATGGATACAAATTCTCAAGTTATATTTTTCTCTATAGCCACGTTTTATCATAATTTGAAGAAGTCAATCACTCTGGAAGAACCTTAATCTTCTTTCATTTTGATAGAAGTCCAAAAAAGGGATTCGTTGTTGTAGACTTTAACAAATTCCCAGCTGATCTTAGTACTTCCATGTCAACCTTGTCCCTAGGAAAAAATAAAAACTCACCTCCTTCATCTCTCTCGAACCCACAACGCTGAAGAAAACTCAATACCTTCTTTCAATTTCCCAACTCTAGCCTGTTATTTAGAACACAAATTAATCAGTTAGTTTGTTATGAAACAGAAAATTCCATTAATTTGGCAGAACTTCGTAAACTTAGTAAAGAGTCACTGCTTGGTGCAACAGTAAATATTAAACAATCACTTGCCCAAAAGTCCCAGGAGCAATTGATTGTCCATCATGAATAATGAACAAGCCAGGAGCTAGATTAGCTTAAATGGATCCTCAAATTTATCAATCAAAGAGAGCAATCTGTTTACAAACTCTACATCAATTATGATGGTTTGAGGAAAAAGCTAGGGATGATGGTCAGCATAGTATGGCCAAATAAGTTCATGATAGACTCGCCATAAAGGTGCACACATATACACACAGTATATTTATATGCAAGTGAAAAAAAAGGAAAAAGAAAAAAGAAAAAAAAGACAATGCATGTATTAAGGTCGAATATCTTAGTTCCCAGCAGCTTTCAAATTCCTGGGCCAGATGTAGTTAGCTTTAATTATGGTTACAAAGCAAAGCTCAAGTGTTGATTAATGATTACGGACAATAAGTTGTGCAATATACCTACCATTTGCGCCCCATCCACACGTAATAAACAATCTAAAGTTGAAAGCAACCCCAGCTACCTTGTCAATTAATTATCCGTTTTGTCTATCGAATACTACAACAACTATCATTTCCACCATACATGTTTGTACCCACAACAACAACACAACCTAGCTTAATTCTTTATCGTCTAACGTCCATATGTCATCTTGTGGTTGGATAGTGAATTATATATTGTGGAAGTGAAGCAATAACAATAAAATTTCAATCTTACTTGATAACTCAATCCAATACTTAACGATTAATGAATTAAATGATTATGTAACAATTACTTGTGGTCTATACAACTCATTCCACCTACCTTCTTTACAAAGCAATTCACCCCACAATATATAATGTAAATATATAAATATACCCTACATATTCAACAAATGTACTCTTATGGATGATGCCTATAATAAGAGCTCTTCCAATTTGATGCCTAAAACGCACACCTAATATGTATTTCTCAGAAGGGTTTAGAATCAGAATTGAAGTAAACCTACAAAATTGCTGTTGTAAGAGACATTGTATTGATCATTGCAACTAAAAGCTAAAGCACATGCGACAACTACATACATAAGACTATTGACAAAAAAAAAGGGGAAATGCTAAATTATAAAGGAAGAGTACTTGCCAATTTGATACAAAATTAGATACGTGGCCGGGTCTAATGTTATTGGAAACCCTCTCAACCACACCAGCAGTTCATAAAAAAAAGAACTCCCCCTCTTGCAATTCATTCGGAATTATAAGGATTAATTGTCATCTTTACCAATACTTTAGCATTTCCCATAAAATACTGCATCAGCTTCTACTCTAGATCATAACTCTACCCCAGAAATCTAGTAATTTCAATTTCTTGAAGACGAATAGACAGACAACAAGGCACCACTTCTGGTTCAACAAATTTGAAATCCCTGGAATCATTATGTTGACACTGCTACAAACAAAAATCAGAAGTTCAAATTCCATTTAATGATGAAGCTGCTCCAAAATGGGTCTTGCAACAATTAACTCCAACAAGAATGTTTCAGATTTGCTCATAATCATTGCACCAAAAACCTACAATGTTTCAGATTTGTTTCAGAATGTTTCAGATTTGCTCATAATCATGAGATAAAGAGACTACATATTATGATATTGTAGTGTTCATAAATATAAAGAGATTATGATATTGTCTGTTCTCATATATCCTTGCAAAAATCTAGTATTCAAAAATTATCTGCTTGAAATATTTTCGGCAGATCTAAGGAAGAAATTTTTAGCAAAATGTTTGTGTTTGATTCATAAATGATAATCTTGTTATTTCCCTTTTTTATTAGTATTCTAAATTTGAGACTTGTGTGATGCAGCTATTTTTTTGGATTTTATACCGTGGATTTTGCAGTTACTTCCTTGGATTTTGTATAGTGAGGTGGTTTTCTGACAAGTGCAGACTGAAACTCAAGTGCTAGAAGGTTTATCAATTTTTCAACAGAAGTGTTAAGAAATTGATGATTTTCTTGACAAATGAATTTACTTCCTGTTTTGGAACATTGATAAATGTTAAATTGTTTTGGCACATTAATAAATGATGAATTGTAAAAATGTTTTAACTCTTTTGATATATTTAGTGGGATATGTTTTTTGAATTGAATTATAGCTGAAAGTGATGTCAATTATAGGTGCTGTATGATTAAATGGCATTAATTAAGACTGTTTTATTTATAAAAAAAAATATATATATATTTTTTACGGCGAGCTTAAAATCCCGTAAATAAGTGAAAATCCTCCTAAGTACCTTTTCTACGGCATACATGGCAAGTCGTGAGAATGATTTATATTATTTATGGGTACCTAAAATTTACTGCAGAAGACATTTCTACGGCATGCTTGAATGACTCGTGATATTATTTACGGGTAGTTAAAATTTGCCTTAGAAAACTTTTCTACAGCATGTTTTTGTTCCCCGTGAGATTATTTATGGGTAGTTACAACTCGCCGTAGAAAAATTTTCTACGGCACGCATCGATACCTCGTGAAATTATTTACGTGTAGTTACAACTCGCCGTAGAAAACTTTTCTACAGCAATTTACAATTCGACGTAGAAATTTTTTTTTTTCTACGGCATGCACCGGTGCCTCGTAAGTTAATTAAATAAATTTAATATATATAAATAAAATTATTTTTACGGCGAATCTATTATTTTTCTACGAGATAGATTTTTTCCCGTAAAAAAAATTGAGTATTTACGGAACCCTCATACACGAGGGCCTAAAATGCGCCGTGAATAGGTTTCCACGGCGTTTTTGGCCCCTCGTAGAAGCCATTTTTTCTTGTAGTGAAATTGTTTAGAAATGGTTGAAAAATGGCATACTTGAGGTAGTTTTCATTCAATACTTGTTTGGGATGTTGGTGACTCTTAAGTGAGAAAGAACTTGATGTTTGTGGGTATCATTTCTAGAAACCCTCACGAGACTTCACTCGTCCATTAGGGATAACCGAGGGGTTTAAAAGGCTTGTTGCATATGCTAAATATAACCGTGATCCCTACAAAAACGGTGCTATCCTTTTATTGCTTTCTAGTTCGTAGATTGTATAGTTGTTCATTTCCTTTTTACTTCATAGTTCATTGTTAGGGACTAGCAATATCTAAGTTTGGGGGTGTGATAGGTGCTGAAATATTGCATATTTAAGCCTTAAACTAGGGTATTTTGGTCCCTTTATCTATCTTTACTTTATCATTTTAGTCCTAATTTGTGTTTTTGTTGATTTCAGGTCAATAAGGTTCAAACGGGCTAAAAACAGTCTACTAAAACCTTATTGGAGTTAAGTAGAAAAATCTAGAAAAGGCTCAAAAAATTACCCTGGAGCAGAAAGATCGATCATAGATCTCAGCGATCGCTTGCTGGCCACGTCATCGTTCGTAGCTACATCAGCAACCGGATAAGGTTGCCTCGTCACTATTCATTCAAGTAACGATTGATTGTAGCTCTAGAGCAATTGATCGTAATGCCACGTCAGTGTTAGCTCAGTGGATAAGGCAACCAGTTGTCAAGATAAGACTGTCATGTTAGAGCGATCGATCATAAACTCTAGCGATCGTTCATAAATTCCAGCGATCAATCGTAAACCTACTAGCAGTGAGTTGTTTTATTCCTGATTTCGCCTAATCTTTACCTAACTTATGACTGCGGGATTGCATTATTTTAGGGCATGTTTCTGACCCATTTTGGCCTCCAAAGGTTTTGTATAAAAGGCAAAATGAACCATTTTGTAAAGGGTTATTCAATTTTACATTGTAACTTTTATATTTTCATTAGTTTTCTCTTTAAAAAAGTTAGAGATTAGGGTTTTGGGCAAAGAGGAGAGTGGAGACACAAGGAAGAACACTTCTAGATCTATACAGTCTCTCTCTAGAATTCAACAAAAAAGAAAAGGAAGAAGATGGAGCCATGTTTGAGGATTGCCCTTGAGGGTTCCATGACCATATCCACCTCCTCCATGATTGGTTAGATTTCTCCTTGGGGCTTGGATGAGCCCCAAACTTATAATTTAAACCATTCTCTTTAACTTTTTGGGGATTTATTTCTCGTGTTTAGTGTTATAGCCTTGTGTATAAAATGAATCTTGGGTTCTCCTTTGATTTCTATGGTTTAATTATTCCTATTGATTCTATATGTGATTAGATGTTGTCTTATGTGTGATTATTTGAAAATTGATCTCTACACTAGATTTTCTATGTTAGTTGCATGCCTACGTGTGATTAATTAAGGATTTAATGATGGCTATGCATGGTTTTCATTGAATGGATTTGTTAATTAATTTGATGGATTATGCTTAGACTTAATAGGTTGTGCTACACATTAGTTTATTTGTTGTTAGGTAAATAATCTATACTTGATTTTGATATTCCATCGTTTAGTATTACAAATTCCATGATTCTCTAGATTGATGTGTGCTACAATTGTTACTAATTTGATGGGTCATGCTTAAACTTGATAGGTTATGCTACACTTAGTTTACTTATTGGTTAGGTAGACAATTCATGCTTGAATTTGGTGGTTCATTCTTAATATTGCAATTAGTAGTCGCATTTGGATTACGAGAAGGTTTTCCCCAATTAGTTGAAAGTATGCGGTTTGGTGAATGAGCTTGGTGGCAATTCTAAGGTCCTGAGACCTCTCTTCCTATCATTTAAATCCTAGTTCACTTAGTTTAATTTAGTGGCATTTTCATTTAATTGAATTTTAGAGTAATCAACCAACCAAACTTTCTCTCTCTTGCAATCTTATGATCCACTAGAGTCGAAGTTAAATTCGAACTACGTGTTTAATCCTTATGGATGATCCCTACTCGCTATACTATATAGTAGTAGTGGTTTTATAAATGTAAATTTGACTAAAAAGGATTCTGAAATTACATTCATATTATGACATTGTGAAGCGACCTCTCACTCGATTGCTTTTTCAGTTTCCATTAAGATGACCCGTTAGCTTTTGGCCTTAACCCCATTCCCTCGATGATCTATACAATTTCTCTCTAGTACAACCCTCAATTTTATATGTGGCCACATCGTTGTATATAGAAATATTATACTCTGTAGAAATTTCACTAGTTGAGAGCAAATGTATACTTTGTGCCCTAAAATTTCTTATTATTAGTAATATCATTTTCTTTAGTGGTACATGTGTAAACTTACTTTGAAATGTCCTCTAGGTGAAGTCTATTTACTTTTCTATTTGATTTATTCAAAGTTTTTAGCTTTGATTCTTTAAAATAATATACGACTACACCTTTAATATTAAATACATATCCACTCTTGAATTTGAAGTTTTTAATATCCCACATCTAGTTTGTATCACTATTACATCTCTAATTTAGTTAGATACCTCAATTTATACAATAATAAACTTTGGATGTATCTCAACTACCCAATTTATTGCTTTTTAGCAGATTGAAAATGTGTAATTAATTACAGTTATTAAGATGCCTTGCAATCTCAACTAGTGATATACTTTGACTAATATTTATATTTGAGATTTTAATTGGTGAAATCTCTGTAGAGTATAATATTTCTATTACCCAACTACCCAATTTATTGCTTTTGTTATGATAACTTGTATTATCTCAATCTCACTCTATTGAGAATCTATTATGTTATCAGACGTTAAATTTTTCGTATCAAATATACTAATTAGTATATAATTAAATTTTTAAGGCACATACAATAACTTATGCATCACATTTATGTGATTGTCTTGGTACTAGCTTTAATCCACTTAAGGACTTATAATCTTGCACACTTAACTCTTAAGCTGGAACAATAAACTTGTCCCATTATATATTTTTCTCACAGGAAGCAAGATGCACTACTATTATAACCAATATTATAAATAATTTTTGGTCATATTCAAAATCTCTTAGAATTAAGAACCCCCACATTTATAAGTATTTATTATCTAATTAGGTAAGTCGTAGCAAATTTCATCTATAGACAATATCTCCCCATAATACTGGGATAATTCTGAAATTTTATTTATGATGTATTTATCATAGTTTTCTAACTCTTGAAATACAATATACTAAATACTTCACCTCATTACCTTTACAAGGTTTTATATATTTGTTTCTCATCAAACACGTATATATAACGGTCTCTAATGTATATGTACTCACTTTATCTCTAACTTATTCTTATAACATGTCACAGACGTTACTGTAAATTAATGCTAGAGATACTAATTATAATGGGCTCTATTAATATTTACTTCTACATCTCTCGTATTTATGAATTGAGTTATTCATGTTTAGATTCACGTTAAGTCAGTCATATTAACATGTCATAACCGTTCATTTGTGACAAATCACATAACTCGATCATTTAAGCAAATAATTCACTTATTATTTAAGCTTTTGATACATCACCACATACTAAGCACTCATTTCTCAGCTATGATTACTAGTTAAAAGTGCGTTTTTAGCTAACATTACTAACTTAGATTAGGCGCATTCTTCTCATTAATCACTACTAGCTTATAACGAACACTTACTTCTTAGCTATTACCACTAGCTTGAAGTTAAGTTTGCTCAGCTATCATTTCCAGTTACTCTTAGCATTAGTACACATTATCTAAGTAGTCTACCTTGGTAGTAGAAGAATTTGGTTTGAAGAATATTCTTAAAAAAACTAATACTTTACGAGTAGTATTATTCCCTCCTACAGGAGCAGATATGATGTATAACTTAAATAGCTATAAGCTAAAATGACTACTCATCATTCTCTCTTTTTTTTTTTTTTTTTTTTTAACCGAGTTGAGAATGGAACCAGCTAACAAATTTTAACATGCCTCTTTGATGTTGTGCACCTCAATAACCGTTTTAGCTTATAGCTGGATAACTGTTCCTCTATTGCTAACTAGCTTGCACCTTAGTAACATTTTGCCTTTTAGCTAAATTGTACTTTATAGCTGCTAGTTTTAATTAGCTTGTCACTTTTAGCTCAGTGTAGTAGCTTAGTATATCCATAACATTTTCTATTAAACTTCTTTGAGTTATCAAAAAATATTCTCTTATTCAAACCATTCATTGCTATACGTGTCTTAGACACTAGTATAAATCTTTTTCCCATGACTATCGGAGTATTGACATAGCTGTACTAATCAATGTTTATCTGTTGTATTAAATACACAAACCATTCACGAACTCGTACAAAATTAATAATATCACACATTAAATAAACTATATTGTAAAATTAATCGAATTACTATGCACATTAAGTAATTCAACTACATAGTTCAATATTATAGTATCAAATAAAACTAAGCACTTATAAAAATAATATTAAACTCACATAAAACAATATAGTTTAATATTATATCACATGATTAATTATATCACATAATTAATCTAAGAAATAATTTAATAATAATATTCAAAAGAAGACTTTGCTTCCTTAAAGTTTTGTGTCTCATTCTCCAATAAATATGTTAGAAAATCAGGACCAAATGATTTAGATGTTCTAGCCCTCCTGCCACATCTAAGCTCATCCTTATTTTCATTGTATGATTTATGCACAAGAAAACGATATGCATTACTCTTATGAACTTAACCAATCAAAGATTTTATGTAATGATCCACTTCACCATATGATATGATATTCTCCGTTTTTTGCTCGAGCCCGCACAGTTTTATTCTTGAGTTTTATCCCAAAAAGTCTCATACCAATTGGTGATAACACCATCACATAAAAGCACTTCACCTTTTCCTTATCAAGGTGATGTGGGACTATACACCTGTAGCTTGCCTATTATGGTAACCTGTCAGTACCTCTTACACCCACCCACAAGGTCGCCACATTTTAGGTCTCATTTTAACTTTTTAGGAGTAGGAACTGCAATTGTAGTTAGACACCTGCACACTTTAAAGAATTTATAGGAAAATTTTCGACCTTTTCATAATTTATATGGTGTCACATTTGTTTTCTTTTGAGGTATTTTATTAAGAACACAATTTGCGGAAGCAAAGTTTTCCCCCACAAATTCTGAGTTAAATCAGAACTTATCAATATAGCATTCATCATTTCTTTTAAAGTACGGTTTTTGCGTTCAGTAACACCGTTCTGTTGAGATGTATAAGGAACGGTACTTTGATGAATAATACCATGTTATAAATAAATATCAGCACATGGTGTTTTGTATTCACCACTTATATCATTTCTTAACACCTTAATATATTTGCCAAGTTGATTCTCAACCTCATTTTTGTAATGTTTAAACATTTCTAAGACTTCATTTGCTTTGTAGCAATTATACATAACAATATCTTGTGCAATCATTCATAAAAATATCGAAGTACCTTTTTCTACCTCTAGTTGACATAAATATAAGATAATATAATATACTACATAATATCATATTATAAAAATAACTCAACTAATATTGAATTATATAAATAAATCAATAATCTACTTATATAACATGCTTCAATTTTACATAATATTGAACACATCAATATTTAGCATATTATCATATAATAATCTATATAACATTAACATTATTTTATTATATCACACTTATTAGTATAATCTCTACTTGTTTATATCTTAAATAGAAACATATAATAAAATCTACGCAAGGAATAAACAGTCTTAAGATTATTAGAAAATGTATGTTTCAAATGACATTTAAGATATAACTAACCTTATACTACTATGACATGAAATAATTAATAATATGCTAAAAAATAATTAATTAAATATGCAACTCGATATTTAATTAAACATGCAAATTAAAATAATAAAATAATAATAATAAACAA